ACAAATATGTATCTCTTCCAGTCAGTTGGCCAGGTAGTTGTCTTCCAAATCTGTTGGCATAGCCAGGTGAGTGCCTCCAGTGTGGCATCTGTTTGTTGAAGCATCTCAATGGGTATTCCATCAATTCCTGGAGCCTTGTTCTTCACCAGTTCCTTCAGTGCAGCTTCGATTTCTTCCTTCAATACCATTGGTTCTTGATCACATGCCACCTCCTGAAATGGATGAAGATCGACCAGTTCTTTTTGGTACAGTGCCTCTGTGTATTCCTTCCATCTTCTTTTGATGCTTCCTGCATCATTCAATTTATTGCCCATAGAATCTTTCAATTTTGCAACTCAAAGCTTAAGTTTTTTCCTTAATGCTTTCAGCTTGAAAAATGCCGAATGTGTTCTTCCCCTTTGGCTTTCCAACTCCATGTCTTCGCACATTCCATTATAATAATTGACTTTGTCTTCTTGAGCTGCTCTTTGAGATCTTCTGTTCAGCTCTTTGATCTTGTCATTTCTTCCATTTGCTTTAGCTACTGTTCACTGAAAGGCAGATTTCAGAGTCTCTTCTGATGTCCATTTTGGCCCTTTCTTCCTTTTCTGTGTTTTTAATGATCTTTTGCTTTCTTCATGGTTGATGTTCTTGATGTCATCCCACAGTTCTGGTTTTTGGTCACTGGTGTTCAGTGCATCAAATCTGTCCTTTAAATGGTCTCTAAATTCAGGAGGGATATTATCAGGGTCCTATTTTGGCTCTTGTGGACTTGTTTTCATTGTCTTCAACTTCAAGTTGAACTTGCATATGAGCAGTTGATGGTCTGTTCCACAATCAACTCCTGGCCTTGTTTTGGCTGAAGACATTGCACTTCTCCATCACCTCTTGCCACAGATGTAGTCAACCTGATTCCTGTGTACTCCATTTGGTTAAGTCCACATGTATGTCTGCCATTTGTGTTGTTGAAAAAGTATTTGCAATGAGTAAGTCATTGGTCTTGCAAAATTCTATCATGCGATCTCCAGCATTATTTCTATCCCCAAGGCCAAATTTTCCAACTACCAGTGATTCTTCTTTGTTTCC